TGCGAGTATTTCCTTCAACAAACTGGTTTTGTTGTGCCAGTTGAGATGGCCCGGTCACGTCCTACGCATGGCACCTGAGCGTCTGCCGCGTCGAGCTCTATTCGGTCATCAAGCACCTGGCTGGAGGCGATTGCGTGGTGGTCAGCCTTCCACTTGGCGGCAGCACATGAAATCGCTGACTTGTCTAGCCGCTGTTGGATCCGTACGTCTTCCAGGATGGGGACCCAAAGATGAGGAGTGCCAATGGCCAAACACGCTTGAAGACATGACCCGCAATCTGAATTAGTGGAAGAATTGTGTACAGTATGGTATTGATTAAGGTTTAATACTTCAAACATTGAAAATGATGAAGAGAAATATCGGCGTGTGAAAAACGAACTAAAAAGGTTTTGTTCTACGTTTTGTCAAAATGTTCCATTCTTCCTTGGCATATTAGTTGAAGTGTGCTGCTCACTTACTATACCACGATATGTCCTTTATCCGCTGATCTCTGTGGTTTTTTGTTGGCTGCCTAGTGGCTAGAATGCTGAGATTACTTACTTACAGATGGTGAGGTATGTTTACTCGGCTACGCGCTGCTTAGATGTGATTGCTCCGTTGACCGTCAACGTGGGGGCGCCACTTTTTGTGAGTTGTAAACTTGATGTGTTGAGGACCTGTGTGTTCCAGTCGCCGGATCAAACTGTTGAAGTCCTGTCGACTATTGTGTGCACTTCCTCTGCTCAGTTTACAGTTGTAGTGGTATATCGAAGTCCTGGAAGTATCTCCATAGAGGTTATTGCATTTATCCGTACTCAGGCTGCCAAAGGTGTCTAATACTGGGTGACTTCAACTTCCCTGAAGTCAGCCGGGCTGATATAGCTTGCAGTTCGGTGGTGGGCACTTGCGGTTTGGATCTCCTCGAACTAACGTTGCAACTTCCTTTGCATCAGTTTGTGGACCTCCCGACCAGATATATGGGCAACTAACTTCCGTCTACCTTGGATCTCATTTTTGCGAAGTCACACGATTTCGTAACTGATATTACATACGGTCGTCCTCTAGGAGCCAGTGACTATGTCTGCATATGCTTTCGATGTGCTCTAAATGGCATCCAGCTAACGCTGAGACATGTCCAAATATTTGGCAAGCAGACTAACGCAATGCGAGACACAGCTTCAGTTCTGCGTTGCGCGATCACCGTGGCTGACAAAGTTTCGACAGCCTAGGAGAAATTTAAGGCATACCTCATCGAGATCTTTGCACTGTCATTAAGAGAAGGGTGACACGCGTGCAGCCTCCTTGGATAGATCAAAGGTAAACACCCGCTCAGGAAGCGCTCAAAGTGCTGGCGAGCTTACCAAGCAGCTTCATCAACCAAAACCTACGAAAGCTATCGAGCGGTTAGAGACAAAGGTAAGCAACATCTTAGGACTCTTCGTCTTTAATACGAGGAGGATTTGGCTGACAGCTGTAACAAACGCAATTCTTTGCTTAAGTAAAGGGACGCAGCGGTACAAATTTGTCTATACCGGCTTTAATACTAACGGATGGGACCCATGGGCATACCAACTATGAGAAGGCTTGTATACTTAGCGAACAGTACACCGGTATCTTTTCTCGTGAGGCCTTTACCTCAGGTTGAGCTGGTCACAAAGGTCCCAGAGGATCCTTGCTCAACTGAAATCAGCCTAACGGCGATCCAAGTCTTCAGGCTATTGCAAGGGCTAAATCCTTCCAAAACTTCTGACCCTGATTCAATTCATCCGAAGCTGATGCATGAATTGGCCGCTGAGCTAAGTGGCCCTCTGACATGCATGTTTAGAATAACGCTCGACAGCTTTGCTTTCGGAATGGAAGGATGCAACCATCTGTCCGATTTTTAAGGGTGGTGACAGAGCTCTGCCCGGGAACTACCGACCTGTCAGCTTGATAAGCTTAGTAGTTAAGTTGTTTGAAAAATTGGTCAGGGATTCGGTGGAGAATCCCCTGATCAAATTTAATCTTCTCAGTACGGCACAGCAGGGATTCCGTAAGGGATTTTCATCTCTGACAAATTTATTTGTGCTCGTAAAAGCTGGGCTGAGGCAGTAGACAATGGTCACGCCATCGACGTGCGTTTCGTTGACTTCTCGAAAGCCTTTGATACTGTCCCAAATCAACGACTCTCATTGAAGTTGAGATCGTATGGGATAACTGGAGCCGCCCTTAAATGGGTGTCTGCTTTCCCAGAGTGGAGATAACACTGTAGAGTGGGACGTAGCCTTTCGCTTAGACAAGCTGTTCTTAGTGGTGTTCTGCAGGGCTCGGTCCTAGGACCGTTGCTTTTCGCAATTTATGTCAATGACCTACCCCACGAGCTTGAAGTATCGTCGCTATTGTTTGCTGATAACCTCAAGCTCTGGAATATTGTGGATATCCCTGGTACCTCTGAAGCTCTGGGATTGGTCAACCTTATGGTTGATGTCTGTAAATCATACGAAATGTGTTGTCCTCCACACTTGAGGTGCTAGTCTCTCATGCGCTGTGTAGTTAGAGGAAGTGAAATCCCCGTTGTCACTCAGCAGGTTGATCTAGGTATCGTCCACACCTCAGTGCTTCACTCGGGACAATTGGAGGAAGACTGCTTGTAGTGTTCCTTTGGTATCCTAACAACCAATATTTTTGTGAAACTGTTCTCAGCTTTTGTGCGACCCAGGATTGTCCACCTTATCTAGTAATGGACAAAATGGAACTGGAGAGGGTTTTGCGAGTGGGCACAAGGGATTACGGTGGCAAACGTATCCCGAATGTTTACTTAGCTTGGGTATGTACTCAATGCACTACCGCAAAGTGGAGGGGACTTGATCCTCAATTACCGTATCCTAAGGAGTAAGATCGGTCCTTGTCCTGGGTATTTAGTGCCGCCAAGCTGCCTAGTCTTCGAGGTCACTCGCTGGAGTTGTACAAAGTGCGTTCTGACCGGGTAGGGACGGAAAGTTGCTTGTCGCGCCAAGTTATTGAAGGTTGGAACTCGCTTTCGGAGTAAGTCGTTAGGGAGTTTCGAGCGTCAGTTAGATGCTCTTGGGTAGCAGTACCAAACCTTCCCCTTCTCCTAACCGACTTGTATCTTCAACTTTCCGGTCGTTTTATTATTTCTTCTCATAGCTTGTTACTATCATTATTTAGCCGACATTCTTCCTCTTGTTTTCTTAGCTTACCTTTCACTCTTAACATAAACCGGTCTGGCAAATACTGCTGTGCAGGGAAATGCGGGCAGTAATTGGTTGGACAGGTTGTGGTGATCAGCATATGGACACCAGTCTCCTGACATTTTGGGCATCATGTGGAGCGCCGACGCCCACGGGTTTTTAGACGGGCGAACAATGCTTAGTTCAAGCATTGCAGGAATTCTGCACCAGCAATATTTAGCTTTTCAGGGGTCATGCGCCTGGCTTTGGCGAAAACAGGATCTTTGATAACGATGTGACGTTTTGCAAAATCAGTGGTGGATAAAAACGGTGCCATTGCACGGAAGACTTGCGGGAACTTCGTATTATCTGACCGACAGGTGAGCTTGACTGGTTGGCGTATACAGGACCGATTGACTCAATGTCGGTCAAAGTACCTATAACTGCCAGAGTTGTTTGACAATCGATCAGGCGGCGTTGCTTCGTGTCAACAAGCACATCGAAGTGCTGCAGAAAGTTAAGGCCAGGACATTTGAGACGAGAAAGATCCAGTAAAAAAACGTCGTAGGTTTCAAAAAAGCGTGTGCGGGCGTTGATTGTACACGAGAATAGTAGTGCCGTTTGCTGCGCGCAATGAACTAGTTGCCTCTTCAATAACATTAGAATTACATGGGATAACGCTGACTTCTGCGCCGGGGTCAACGAGATGGCGTACATCCGTACTGCGATTGGTGACGAAAAATGGCGACTGTGGTAACAAGCGACGTCCGTCGAATTTCTTGGCCACCATATTGATCAGTATGGCATACGGCCTCCTGACGACAGAGGGAGCGCCATCAGACTTTCCGGTCCCTATTACGTTAACTGCTGTTCACCGTTTTAAAGGCATGCTCGATTATTATCGACGTTTTCTTCCACACCGTACCAATTTAATATCCACTAACCGACGTACTTCGTGGACGTAAAAACGGCCAAGTGGAACAAACTGCTGTTGCCGAAGCGTTCAAGACCAGCAAAGAAACCTTAGCCAAAGCCGTTATGCTTCATCATTTTGATTCGAACGCTCCGTTGTGGCCGTTGAAGCATCGGACACCGCCATTGGCACTATCCTATCTCAACATACAAATAAATGCTGGAAACCTCTTGCGTTCTACTTTAGACGTCTACAACCTGCAGCACGTTCAGTCGCCAACATCTAGCCGTTTATTCTACCGTTCGACATTTCCGACACGTCCTGGAAAGTAACACCTTCATTTTCTTCACAGATCACAAACCGCATATCTACGCATTCCGAAATCAATCAGCGCGACACTCACCACGTGAAACCCGTCAGCTGGATTTCATTGCCCAATTCTCCGACACATTTCTGGTCAACGAAACGTTGTCGCTGAGGCTCCTTCAAGGTTATCTGCGATCGGCCCGGCCGGACAGGCAATCGATTTGTCTGCTAAGGCCGCCCCGCAATCAACCGACCAAACATTTTCGGAACACCGTGATTCTACTTTGAAGGTATCCCGACACCCTTTGCCATCATCTGATGGTACAATTTTATGCGACACATCTACCGGACGACCTAGACCCGTCGTTACAGAAACACTTGGCCTTATCGTTTTCGACACCCTTCACTGTATCGCACACACACGCCTTAAAGCTACTGCTGAACTTGTCTCCGAGAGATACGTTTGGCCAGGGATACAACGTCGTCCTTATGATTAACGATGTCAAAAAGGCAAAGTCGAAAGAAGATAAGCAAGGTTAGAAACAGTGAAAAACAACATGACTTCAGAAAAGTACGGACGCTATCTTGCGTGGATAGGCAACAACAAAGGACAGACAAAAAGCACGACCCACCTCATGCTCGCGGCACGGAGCGTCCTACCCACCACTTGGAAATAATGTTTTTTCGGCAGTGTGATTCTGGTACACACGGTTGTGCTTTGGACAATTTACCATATATTCTCCCACTTCCTTCTATTTTTCCGATACATACAGTAGACTTCCATAAACCATTTTTTATGTTCCGTTTCCTTTTTTTAACAGCCTACTGTTATATTTCAACTTTTCCAGATTTATTCAACTTCGCAATTAGGCATGTTACATAGCAGTTTTGAATTTCTGGAGATAATGAACTCTTTACAAACACGTTGCGCAAGTACACAATAAAACCCTTACTTTTTGAGAACGCAGAGACAAGTTGTCCTGATGAACGAAAGCCGCATTCAAAATCGCGCTAGTGGCGGATAGCACGGTCCCCTCGCTTGCCGCGAGATCTGACGTGCACTTCATTGACCTAGAGATCAGCAAAACAAGCCTATTGGTGTCTCCTTAACTGGCCAATGAGTGTTTTGCTGTTCTACTTACAAATGGTCAATTGATACATAATTAATATTTGTACTTCACGATTTGATTGTAATAGCAACTTGCACGACACAAGGATTCCTGAAGGCGGAACTTCGAATTTCTGGCATTGTGCTGGCAGCTAAGGAGTAACGCGGCTCCCAGCTTTTGCTTAAATAAAGTACGGTTGTATCCCTTTGTTCATTCGTTTCCCAAGTTTGAACACAATGGAGATGGGATTTAAATCTAGGGTGCAGGTTGTGCGTCGTTCGGTTAAACGCATTCACATATATTTGAACTGTATTTTAACATTGCTTTATTTCTTGTAACGGTTGTGCTCGATCGATACGCTCCTTGTTCACGTACCTCAGTGTTCTCCCCTGCATGTTGTTCGCTGTGCGCCGGTTTCGAGATGCTCTGCTATTGCGAGTGTTTCCCTCTGCCGTTCGCTTTCATCGTTAGGTAACTACTAAACCTACTTCACCATAATGGGCTCCCGAGGTGGGATGTGCTCCAAGGATCATTTCGAAAATACAAAAATAATCTTCTTGCTCATTGCATTCGAATTCAAATGGTCATGCATTTCGGTTTAAGAAGCCCATAGCGCGTGTGTGAATTTCAAGCGCTTGTGGGAATGGGACGATGGGAAAAATCCCCTAAGTGGTCGTCTTTGAGCAGGTCGTTGATCCTGGATTTGCTAGGGCCCTCGACTTCTTGATTACTCTACAACTAAAATACCCGAATACACAGCCTGAGCCACTAAGTTAATGCTTACGTTCCTTGCATTAACTCTCCCTACTATTCCAGTCAAGGAAAGTAATAGCAAAAGAATATCGAAGGAAAAGATGAAGGGAACGGGTTCAAATATAGGTATAAAACCAACGGTGAGGAAAAGGAAAGAAAATAAAACCACTGTATGAAAGTGGGTTATCTAGGATAAGGGAAAGCTTTCTGTTTATCACCCAGGTGCAACTAGTTTATGTTTGCATCGCATAACGGTAACTTTCTTAACAACACTAACTGCAAGCACGTTACAGCACCCGATGGCTCGACCCGATAACAGTGTCGCCGCTCTAACTCGATCTGACCTCGTCTTGTTCAGATTCCTGCAATTGCCATGGAGACCAGCTAATATATCTCAGGACTAAATAGCCAGGACAAATATTGGCTAAGTTCGCCCGTCAAGATGCGGTGGGGTTGGAGTAAGTCCCCTTTATCCTTTGCTAGTGTCTTGCATGCACCTCCAAACAAATAGGCGCTGGGGTAGGTTTGCCTTCGGAACCCCTCGAAAACCTAGTACCGACAGTAAACACTTGTAAGTGCCATTTTCTCCTGGATGAGGCATGATGGACAAGTCTGGACGCAATATTCTGAGTACGGTCGCACGAACGTTGAGTAGAGCTTCCCACACATCAGCACGGCGGATAAACCGTATTACCAGTAACCATTTACTGGCCACCTCCTTCCATTGGTCTCCAGACTGTAGAGTGGAACCGTGGACGACACCTAGATCAACCTGATGAATCGCTTGAGAAGTTCAGTCCCATCGATCACACAAATTGTGGAGAAGTCAGGCGCTTCGTTACGCAGCACTGAACACTGCTCGGTTTACGGGCAACAGCCACAAGCCAGACCATTCCCAGAGTCTATCCGGAGCCCGTTGAAAATCAGCAGGACCTCCAAGGATACTAACAACGTTCCAGCGTTTTGGGTCATCAGCAAATAGGAGCCATGGTACCTCAAGCATCCCGGCAAGTTATTTACGTAAACTGAGATCCGCAAGTTCCCTAGAACAGTTCCTTCCGCAACGCCGCTAACGATAGCTTGTCGAAACGACAGACTGCTTCCCACATGAATACCCTGTTGACCATCACCCAGAAAAGTTGGCACCCACAAGCGAGAGCCCCAAAATATTCCATAAGGCACCCAACTTAGTTGTGAGTCGCGAATGTGAGACCCTGTCCAAGACCTTGTCGAAGTCAATGTACACCACGTCCACGGTATGTCCACTCTCTAGGGCTTCAGCCCAACTTACACGAAATACCGGCAAGTTCGTTTGACACGAAACCCCTTTGCGAAAACCATTTTGCTCGACGCAATGCAGTTTAAATATATTTAAGTGGTTCTCGGACGGATCTCTCTAATTTTTCTAGTAACTTAACCAGAAGGATAGGCAAGTTGACCGGCTTATAATTAGCGGCATAGCTTCATCTTGCTGGCCTATCCGGTCTCGTCTGAACGGTCTCCTGCTTTCTGACCCACCTCGGACTTCTGAGATCCCAATTACCTAGGCTATGCCGACGTAACGTCCTGCAACCCTCAACTGAAATGCATTGTTGGTCCTGATTAATCCTTATTACTATGTCCCCTTTCTTCCTGTACGTGCCTATTCTGCCTATTCCTTCCTTTATCACTTAGACCTAAATTCTACGGTTTTCACTCTTTGAGCTGATATTCTAATCTCATCCCAATGGTCTCTTTGCTTCTGACTATTGTGACCTGAACAACCAGGGATGGGTTAACTTATCGGTCTGCTCACATAACCCAGGTTTATCGTTGGCCTTTCCACCTCTTCTGAATAGTGTATTTTCCTTTTGCACTCTATTTGCATTAATTTTTCAATTAGACGTAAATCTCTTCGGACCTGGCTCTAATCTATCCTCGGTTGACCAGTCTCATTTTTCTCACTGCTCTCTGACACCCGAGACGTTATCACTCGAGGCTCTACATTCCAAACGCTCTGTTCCCTTTATCCCTAGACCTTTCCTTGGCATGCTAACTGGCTTTTATATAGCCGCTGTCGTCCTTCTTCTTATGACACTCATCTCTGCTATCCACAAGTTAACTTGGCGGCATAGCTTCATCTTGCTGGCCTATCCGGACTCGTCTGAACGGTCTCCTGCTTTCTGACCTAAATTCTACGGTTTTCACTCTTTGAGCTGTTTTTCTAATCTCGTCTCAATGGTCTCTTTGTTTCTGACTATTGTGACCTGGATGATTAGGGATGAGCAGACTTATCAGTCTACTTTCCCTTCTCGGTGGTCTCTTTGCTTTTGACTGCCGTGACCCGATTGATCAGTGTTAGGCAGAATGGTCTCCTGTTGTCTGACCTCTATCGGGGTTCTGCGATCTAACTGTTCTAGTCACAGCCGACGCAACGCTTGGTTACCCTCACCTCAAGAACGTTGCTGGTCGTGACTAATCGTCATCATCATGTCCCCTCTCCTCCCTAACGTGTCCTTTCCTGCTGATTCTCTCCGACAAAATTCATAGCTTACTATTACGCCTTTCTCTTTATGAGCCTACTTTTGTCTGGTCTGAACGACCCACCTTCCGACTTCCGTGACCCTAATGATCAGGGGTCGGCAGACCCAATGGTCTGTGCAAATCACGTCGGGAATATCGTTGACTTTTCCACTCATCAATGAAAACTTTTCCTTTTCTCATTTGGTTTGCATTCCTTTTTCCACTGGTCAGGCAACTCTCCGGATCTGGCACTACTCTAGCGGCGTCTGACCAGCCTCCTGCTTTCTGACTACTTCCTTACATTCCAAACGTTAACGATCTTGGCTTTGTTGTCCTGGTGCTCTGTCCCCCTTATCCTGAGACCGTTCCTCTGCATGCAACCACCTTTTCATATAGCCACTTGCTCCCCAAACTGCTTTTCTGATGACACTCAATACTTTATTCCCACCTTACTTTGGAGGCCTAGCTTCAGCTTGCTGACTTACCCGGGTTTGACTGTACGCTCTCCTGTCTTCTGACCTCGCTCGGACTTCTGTGATCTAGACTCTGCCGACGAAAGTCTGTTACCCTCACCGCAAGACCACCGCTGGTCATGATTGAACCTTATTATCATGTCCCCTTTTTCCTTAACATGTCCATTTCTGTTGATGCGCTCTGTCAGCATTTAGACTTTACTAATACGACATTCACCCTATGAGCTGACATTCTGGGCTCGTCTCAACGATCTCGTACCTTCCGACTTCCGTGACCCTAATGATCAGAAGCCGACAGCTCCAACGGTCTGCGCAAGCACCTGGAGCATATCGTTGGCTTTCTTTTACTTTCTCTTCTCACCCATAGAGCATTTTTTCACACTCTAATCTGACTTATCTGGTTCTGGCTGTACGGCCTCCTGCCTTCTGACCACTCTCAGACTTCTGAGTTCTAAATGCTCTAGTCTCTGCAGACGCAATGCTCTGTCTCCCCCGCCTCCAGAGCACTGCTGCTCATGATTCATCACTAGTATATCCGCTTTTATCCTTAACACTTCTATCCTGTTAACGCTCTGTTAACGTTCTGACATTTATAATACGGCTTTCTCTCCATGAGCCGATATCCTCCTCTCATCGCCATGGTCTCCTGCTTTCCGAATACTGAGCCCATACTTTTGTACCATCGACAGGTCCAAAGGTCTGTTCGCAACATCTCGAGATCTTTGTAGGCTCTTCCACTTCCCCTTAAGTGTCTCCTTCACGATTACATTCTTACATTTTCGCGCTCTGTCTGCCTTCCTTTATCCATTGGACG